ACCAGGTTAAACATTTTGATTCTACGCCAACTCTTATAATATTTCATTATAAATCCACAGATCACGAGGAAACAAAGGTCACCCTGAGTCGAGAAAAAGATGGTCAGACACAATTTAGCAACCGCGTAAGACGCAACACTCCTTACTTATCTCCTGATGTCTTGAATTCGATTCGCATGGAAACCTCACGGCCTCGCAGTTTTGTCAAGCTCCTGATAAGATTTGCATTCGTGGAGCTCCGGGAAAAAGAGGACAAAGGGTAAATTATGCAAATAAAAATAAATCAAAACACATTGCAAGGTGATTTCCAATAATACTTTATTGTGAATATAATAACTGTGAACGTCGGGACAAACTAGCAAGATGTTGAGCGTTTAGATTACTGCATTGTGCTTGAAAATAAAAATAATATAAATATACAAATGCCAAAAAACTAGCAAAACTTTATGAATGAAACAGTCAGTGAGTTCCTGAATAGAAATTTAACGTGGCATTTGTCCAAATTCACCGTTTCTCTCTTGGTTTCTCTGAAGAATTCTATCAGAGCACAGAGCAGTCTTTGTAGCTTTGTTAGTGTTTTCCAATTCCTTGTTGACAACCATTTCGTCTATTTCTTGACTAAGATTTGAAAAACTTTTTGATGCCGGCTCCATTTGTAAACAGTCGAAAGCAGCAAAAAACAATTCCCGCCTTTAAAAACTGTTACTCGACGCGAGGCGAGTTTTTTTTATTTTAGCTCCGGACACGTGACACCGAATCGTCTAATAAGAGAGCGAGAAAACAGTGAAAATAATTTACCAATATAACAATAAGGATTTGTATCAATATCTTGTTGAAATCTGTTGCTTCATGATTATTAGACCCATATGGATRGGTCTATTTGATTTYCAAGTCTTTTCTAATSTTTTGCAATTTTCGTCCAAGTAGCCCTTTAAAATAGGATAAAAAAATATATAGCTTTTCTCGATTCTCTTTTTTTTCTCGATGTAACTGCTTATTCGCAATAGTTCTTATTAACATTTAATACTTGTTTATCTTATTTTTGATCATCAATTTTACGCAGGCGCATCATGCATTCTTGGTGCACTTGGTATGCAAAGTAAGGCCATACATGACTCGCAAATTACAGCTTCCTCGACCCATAGTAAAGCCTATCTCCCATCTTATGCAAGACTGAATGTAGTCCTYGGTGAAGGTGGATGGGCAGCTAGTGCTAATACTTTAGGACAGTGGATAYAAGTTGACTTGAGTAAAGTAACCACCATTACAGCAATTGCGACACAAGGCTGTCAAAGWTYTTCCCATTGGGTTAAAACGTACAGTGTGCAGTACAGCGACGATGGAACAAGCTTCAAAGACTATGAAGGGGGAAAGACTTTACCTGGAAATTCCGATCGATCAACAGTTGTCAAAAACAACCTCGATCCTGCTATAATTGCCAGGTATATTAGACTTCTACCAAAGGGATATTATGACCACATGGTACTTAGAATGGAACTATATGGATGCAAGTTATAAAACCATCGCGTTCTGAACTTTCCGAATTTAACCTGGGAGGATGCATGAGGCTCATCTTCCCAGTATGGAAAATTRTGCATTTCGGCTCCAAAGATATCCAGCTACTCTTTGAAGACAACGWGGACCACAATGAGCTTCCACTTGTATTTAGGACGAAATAAAAAACCGGCTTCTCCCATTTGCTAACAAGGCGTGTATATTCTATTATAAATATTATAGCGTTTCGTTCTTATAGATCGTATTCATNTGAAACGACGCGAATACAGTCTTGATATAGTTATCAAGCCTTTATTCAAGTTTGTACAGTGTATGAAATAGTAGCAGTAGTAAATAGCAGTTTTTTATCAATATCTTTATATAAACATCAGTATGATCAATAATGATAATTTCGAGAAAAGTTTTACACGTCATTAGCAAAAGAATAACAAAAGAAGATATCGACTAYCGCCTAACTTGTACTATAGAAGTAGGACCCCTATGCACACTTTCTTTACGCTTTTTAGCTGTATTTCAGTGTATTAACGTGTTTATATTAACTAATAACGTCATCAAACTTAAAGGTTTTTAAGAAGCAGTCTTTCTTGTCCTTTAATGATAAAAATAGGACTCTCGAATGTCACCGGAAACCAGGTTAAACACTTTGATTTAACATCAACTTTTTTCTTTACTTACTAACAGATGAAGAGGAAACAAAGGTCACACTGAATAGAGAAAATAATGACCAGACGCAATTTATCAAACGTTTAAGACGCAACACTCCTAACAAATCTCCAGATGTGTTGAATTCCATTCGCATGGAAGTACGTAATCACATTTTAAACCTCACGGCCTCGCAGTTTTGTCAAGTGCCTGATAAGATTTGCACTCGTGGAGCTCCGGGTAAAAGAGGAAAAATTGGGAGAAGAGGGGCTCGAGGAAGAAGAGGTCGAYCAGGTACTAAAGGAATAAAAGGCCTTCCTGGAAAATATGGTAAACAAGGATTGCGAGGACCTCCTGGACTTAAGGGACAAAAGGGAGATATCGGAAATCCAGGACCGCCAGGACTCCCGGGACCGAAAGGGGAACGAGGGGAACAGGTTTCTGAGCCTTCAGTACTTATTTCACCATCAACACTGACAGTTACTCAGAACCAGACAGCTACATTCCATTGCAATGCTTACGGTAATCCTAAACCAAAGATAACATGGAAAAAGGAATCTGGAAAACAGATTTTTTTTGGTAAAACCAGAATGGATAAATTAGGATTGCTTGAAATCTCGAATGTGGATGAAAACGATACAGGAAACTACACGTGCTCTGCAAAGAGTGTTCTCGGAGAGGATGCAAACACAGTATCACTTCTTGTCAGCTGTGAGTAAAACAAATCTCAGTCTTGCTGATCATCGCATTCCGAATACAACTTTTTATTGTTCAGAGCTGCTATTTTCGCGATTTGCTATATTGAGTACTTGTTCCTTGGTTGATGAACAACGTGGTTAGTGTTGATT